AAAATTCAACCACTTTAAACTTAATAATAATAATAATTAGGAAAAGAGAAAAGCTATACATGCACTGAAAGTAATTGATGCCTTCCACACAATATTTTCAGTATTAAACAACTCTGTTTGTTCAGTAAAAGTGTAAATACACTGGTAACCTTTAATCATATTTTATATGCAAACATTACATATACAAACACTAAAGTTTTATTTCAGAATAGCCAGTAGTTTTCAAGAAATAAGTCTTTGAAATTGTACGTGTAACTTATATATATACCTACTAGTTTTTTCACCATAACAAACAACACCAATATGGCCTAGTTAGTAGTTTACCTGTGTACCAATTAATAATAATAGTAATCTCAGGACAATTCATACAGCTTCATCTAGACCCAAGTTAAGCTAGCTGAAGATTATGTTATGAGTACTGATATAAATACAAAGATTTTTTCGTAAATACATATATATTATCTATACATAGAAAACACCCAGACCGTTACAAACAATTTAATAATAAGTTAATAGTTTAATAAGTACGTACGTAATATTATCACATGGTAACAGCACGTATTATGGCAAAAATAAACATCGGCTGATTTGAAAAGATTTATTATAGTAATAATAGTAATCTCAGGACAATTCACACAGCTTCATCTAGACCAAAGTTAAGCTAGCTGAAGATTATGTTATGGGTACTGATATAAATACAAAGATTTTTTTTCGTAAATACATATATATTATCTATACATAGAAAACACCCAGACCGTTACAAACAATCATACTCATGAATACAAATGTTTGCAGCGTGCGAGGAATCGAACCCTCGACCACCAAGCAGGAATCAAAGCAGTGTGCTAGCTAAATCGCTAGACTACCGACAACTAGCTGTACACGCGACTTCGTCCGCGTGGAATTTAACTTCTTATATTTTAGAAAAATAAAGTTAAATTCAACACGGACGAAATCCCGTGTACAGCTAGTCATCAATAAAAAAACACGTAGGTATCTCTAATATATTATACACTAGCTGTTCCCGCGACTTCGTCCACGTGGTTTTTAACTTTATTTTTCTAAAATAAAAGTAGCCTAAGTTACTCCTTATTACATCAGCTACCTGCCAAAAAAAGTCCCGTCAAAATCGGTCCAGCCATTTCAGAGATTAGCCGGAACAAACAGACAGACAGACAAAAATTGTAAAATATGTTATTTTGGTGTATGTACCGTATTTATATTCATATGCAAGTAGTAAAAAACGGTTATTTCAATATTACAAACAACAGGCTTCAACATTCTCAAGTACCACAAAAAAGATGTTTTTTTATCAAATAAACAGTTTTTATTAAAAACAAGCTGTCCCCGCGACTTCGACCGCGTGGAATTAACTTTATTTTTCTAAAATAAAAGTAGCCTAAGTTACTCCTTATAAATCAGCTACCTGCCAAAAAAAGTACCGTCAAAATCGGTCCAGCCATTTCAGAGATTAGCCGGAACAAACAGACCGACAGACAGACAGACAAAAATTATAAAAATTGTTATTTTGGTATATGTACCTTATATATATTCATATGCATGTAGTAAAAAACGGTTTTTTCTATATTACAAACAGACACTCCAATTTTTATTAAATGTATAGATGTATAGATTATTATTTATTTATTTATTTATTCATCCAAAATAATACAAATTGTGTAGGATAACGTAATAGTAACATTACAGTAAAATTTTGTCAATAACATAATAGCAACTTAAACATTAAATCTCGGTATATCTATAGACTAGCTGGCCCCAGCGACTTCGTCCGCGTGAAATTTTATTTTATTTTTCTAAAATAACAGTAGCGTAAGTTACTCCTTATTACATCAGCTACTTGCCAAAAAAAGTCCCGTCAAAATCGGTCCAGCTATTTCAGAGATTAGCCGGAACAAACAGAGAGACAGACAGACAAAACTTGTAAAATATGTTATTTTGGTGTATGTACCGTATTTATATTCATATGCAAGTAGTAAAAAACGGTTATTTCAATATTACAAACAGACACTCCAATTTTATTTACATGTATAGATGTATAGATTAAAAAAAAAGTAACAGTCATAAGGCTAGTCGTATGCCTAATATATATAATAATGTAATAAATTCATTTAAACAGAAATTGCGGGAACATTATTTAAATTTGTAACTTTTTTACTGTCCTTCTCCTTTTTTCACATCTTTCTGTTATATCCCTATAGTTCTCTCTATATTTTCTGATTTTCTTACTTTCAATTTGAGACTGTACTTATAATTTGATTATCGGATCATTATGTATTTACTTATATATAATATTTATACATTTATGGGTTATACTTAGATATATATTTATGTATGTATATTGTTATTTTTTTATAGAAATGTATATTTTGCTTATCTTTATTATCTTTATAAATCTTTTTTTGACATTTCTTATTTATATTAGTGCACCGCCAATAATCTTTCGCTGCACCACTCATGGTTGCCTGGTAAATAACGCGGCAAAATATTAAGTCCGCCACATGTACAAATTTTTTTGTGCATTAAAGTTAAAGAAATAAAAAAATACAATACTGTTTAATGAAAATGCGTGTTGTCTAGTGCTTTGAGATGTATCAAAATAAGGTCAACAAAAAAGTCCGTGATGGTATATGTCTATCTCTTAAGGATAACCAACAATAACCATTTTTTATCTTTTACATTTTACGGGATTTTTTTTATCGTATGTTTCCCTTAAAATCATGTAAACTATGTTATTATGTCATAATCTAAAGAAATAATAATATTTTATAGTGACATATCCACTATAAAATACCAAAAAGTAGCAATGTAATTCGTTACGCGCGAATCAGGTGTTATAAGGTCAAAGGTCGGTGCACCCCGCGTATTTGAGTGTAGAGTTTATAGTGCTTCTCTGGATGTCTTTAAGAGAAAATGGCAGTATGTACGTGTATATGTACAAGTCCTTAAGTGTTAAGTTTTTCAAATGTACAATAAAGAATAAATATTTTTAAGTACAGTACTTACGTACATTAATATAATACCTACTTTTTACTTGTATCTATTGTTATCAAAATTAAATTATAAGTTCTTAACTTGACCACGACTATGTGACCCTCTCTTGGCGCCAAAACGAGTGAAAAAATGAACAGCATACGACGACGACGCAGTACCTATAGAGTGGAGCAACTGCTTATTCAGTTTTATTCAACTATTTAGTCCCTCCACCGTTACAATGAATGGAGGCGGATATTACAATGTACGTAGCATTGCGAATATAAAATATCTAGATTAGGTATAATAAATTCATAATTCATAGGCCGTTACGGTATCAGAGCCAAAGTCTTCTTTCTTTGTTTATGTACTGTTAGATGCGACAGCGACTTTGTTTTTATATTACTATGTAATGATTGATATACCTAAAATAAATAAAATATCTGAGGTTTGGACAAAAATTCAAAAGGTACTTAATTTTTAAAAAGTATTTTGAAAATACCTATTTTGCATTTAGTATTTGAAATACAAAACACAAAACTATTTTTGTTTTTAGAGTGACATTTCTATGAATTCACTGTCGATAGCGAGCGGTGCGATGGAAAAAGATAACCGTTTATAAAAATATAATAAATAACCCTGGACAATTAACACAGACTGATACTGAACTGATATAAATAGATATTTTTATTTTGTAAATACATATATAATATACATATAAAACACCCAGACCGATGAAAACAATCGATGACCGATGAGTACAATTGTTTGCACCGTGCGAGAAATCGAACCCGCGACCATCGGATGTAAAGCGGTGTGACCACCGAGGCAGTCGAAATATATAAATAATCTTATGAATTTAATTTATTCTAATTTGTTTGTGTGCGCGGGGTGCGGTGTACGGTGCTCCCCCTGCCTCCACCGTTGCTGGAGCTTGCATGTATGGAGCATTGCGAATATAAAATATCTAGATTAGTAAATTCATAATTGATAGACCGTTACGGTATCTATATATATTCGGATTAAAATAAGTATCGCAATAAGGACCAGTATATAAAGTGATCAACACAATTAATTGATTTTTGAAATATATATACAGAGCCAAAAAGTCTTTGTGTATTCAAAAAATATCTAATTTGTTTGTGTGCGCGGGGTGCGGTGTACGGTGCAGGGGGGACCCTGCCTCCACCGTTGCTGGAGCTTACATGTATGGAGCATTGCGAATATAAAATATCTACATTAGTAAATTAATAAAGTCATAATTGATAGACCGTTATGGTATCTATATATATTCGGATGAAAGTAAGTATCGCAGTAAGGACGAGTATATAAAGTGATCAACATAATTAATTGATTTTTGGAATATATTCAGAGCCAAAAAGTCTTTGTGTATACCAAAAATTTAGCCGTTCGGAGCCATTCAGTCACGAATTATTAGTAAAAAAAGTGTCGAGTATATCGTACTATCGACGAATATATATGGCCGCATCGCAAAATAGAATGCGACGTTGCCATACCGCCTGAGATATACGCGATAGGAGTCAAGTTATTCAGTGCAAAAGGTGGAATCGGCAAGTGTTTAGGTTGTGGCGTGATCAACAAAGTGCCCAAAGAGGTGTTTATATATATATATATATATATATATTATTTTACTAGCGACCCGTCCCGATTTCGCAAAGTGTATTATTATGTACTAGTGGCCCCGGCTTCGCACGGGTGTACATGTATTATACATTTAAAACTTCCTATTAAAATAAAAACCGCTTCAAAATCCGTTGCGTAGTTTTAAAGATAGACAGACAGGCAGTGACAGCGACTTTGTTTTATACTATGTAATGATCTGTACGCACAACGGCCCGAATGAGAGGCTAATTACGGAGACTGGAGTCCAACATACTTAAACTATGTAGTGATAATGATTATTACCCTAAATGTATTATATATATGGTACCCTAAATGTATTATTGTGTTTCCAAGTGTAATAAAAATTACATGTTTTTGTATTATAGGATGGCAAGATATCTTTGGAGGAGTACATTGGTGATATGTACAAACCTGAAGATGGAGAGGAAGGCGAGGAGCCTGACTGGGTCAAGCAGGAGAGAGAACAGTTTACTGGATACAGGTTAGTTAGTTCTTCATACATTATTTCAGCCCCTCCAATTAAAACGGGATTGAAATTACAGTTGAAGAGGCAGTCCCTCACTAGAGATTCAAACTTCGGCTCTGTAGCTGAGGTTTGAACCTCTAGCGTTGTCCACAGACTAAAGTCCCTCCTCACTAGAGGTTTAAACCTAGGCTCAGCAGCCGAGGTTTGAACCTCTAGCGTTGCCCACAGACTAAAGTCCCTCCTCACTAGAGGTTTAAACCTAGGCTCAGTAGCCGAGGTTTGAACCTCTAGCGTTGCCCACAGACTAAAGTCCCTCCTCACTAGAGGTTTAAACCTAGGCTCAGTAGCCGAGGTTTGAACCTCTAGCGTTGCCCACAGACTAAAGTCCCTCCTCACTAGAGGTTTAAACCTAGGCTCAGTAGCTGAGGTTTGAACCTCTAGCGTTGCCCACAGACTAAAGTCCCTCCTCACTAGAGGTTTAAACCTAGGCTCAGTAGCCGAGGTTTGAACCTCTAGCGTTGCCCACAGACTAAAGTCCCTCCTCACTAGATGTTCAAACCTAAGCTCAGTAGCCGAGGTTTGATACTCTAGCGTTGACCGCAGACTGCAGTCGTATTCGTCAGGCAGGAGTTGGTCTTTAGCCATTCTATCTAGCTGCAAAGGCCAACAGTATTAGAATAAAATTATTTCAGTCTTCATACTCTAAGAATATGATACTACAGTAGATTTTGACATTTGTAAGGTTGTATATAAGTCAACCGTCTAAATTTAAGGGAAGTTAGCAGAATTTTTAAGTATTGTCATTACCTGGCCTCGTCATCACTTCTTCCGTTTCCTGTCGCTATTAGTTCAGAACACGAATGTAAATAGTAGTGGTCTTATTATAAATGCGAAAGTTTGTTAGTATGGATGGATGTTTGTTACACTTTCACGCTAAAACTACGTAATATATAGCCTATGGATCAAAATAACACTTAGGCTATATTTTTTATTGAAATCTAATGCGGAGAAACCGTGGGCACACCTAGTATTTAATAAGAATATAATAGTGTATGAGAATAACTGTAACTATGTAATATTATTACTAATACAAGAAAAAATAGTAAAGTCTGGACGAATTCCACAGAGACACAGACAAAGACGGGTTCATGGACGAGAATGAGGTGAAGGAATGGATCGCACCGCCCGAGTTCGATCACGCGGAGGCGGAAGCGCGCCATCTTGTCTTCGAGGCGGATTCCGACGCGGACGAGAAGCTCACCAAGGCGGAGGTACTCGATAAGTACGACCTCTTTGTGGGCTCGCAGGCGACCGACTTTGGTGAAGCCCTGGCGCGTCATGACGAATTCTAATTAATAAGCATCAATACATAAAAAAACCCAAGACGAACAATCAATAGACTTGTGGTAATGAAAATAGAGTGCATAATATATTCATTTTTGAGCAGCTTATATATGAAGTGATTATACGTGGAATTTTATTTTTTTTAAATAAACTCTATTGATGGAATATGGTCGTCTTGGATTTTTCTTGTATATTGTAAGTACAGTTTAAAGTCGTGTCAGCTGTTCTTATTACCATAGAATTACCAACCGTCCTGTTTTTCTAGGACATGTCCTAGTTTTTATACTGTCCTGGGACGTCTTGAATAATGGAATAAACAATGCAACTTACATAAATATCACCGCTCATGCGTTGCCATTTCAGGGTTAGTTTGAAAGATTAGTTTAAATACAATATAGCTACAAAAAACGTGGAAGTAACATTGTATGTGCATCTCCCATATGCATAGGCAGCACCTCAGTGTGTTGTTAGGTCAAGCAACAAATCACTGATTTTCAGGTATTATCTAGGGACATACGCACTGTCAAAGAAAATAAAATATCAAATTGTTAAGTTTTACCAGTCATCTCTATGTAGCGGTCTCGGCACCATAGTCATACTATTTATAACACGACAATATATAATAGCTTTGCGCAAAGTTAACTCTATATCTATATAAATACACTAGCGTACTCGGCAGGGATGAAGCGCCGCTACCTAACGGGTTTAAGTATATTTTGAAACCTTACTTATACTACTTACCTTAAAAAGACTTAAACCCAGTCCCCCGGAGTTGATGACGGGGCCAAGAGGGCGAGCCTCGAGGTCTTAACCTGCACCCTCCTATTGGGGTAAGCATTACTTGTGTCAGTCAGTCTAGGAACCCATTGACATATTTACACAACATGTCAGCATCATAAAAATTGGTCCGACCGTTTTGGAGTTAGATGACAAACACATACAGAAGAATTATAGATATATATTTATATTTTATATACATATAATGTTCATATTTATTTTATTAAAGGTTATTACATCTGAAATGTACCTAGTGTTATTTAGACTGCGGTTTTCTGTAAGGCAAGTATTTTCAGTTTCATTTTTAAGTGAATCTCCCTTTTACATGCTTCCAAAAGTTAGTAATGACATTTAAATTAAAAAGGCTGTTTGTTTTAAATAAAAAAATGTATTATTTTATTATATAGGTAAATAAAATAAAATATGGCAACGTTTTTATTGAACTATTAATATTACATGAATAGTTAAGCATGAAATACGATATATTTTTTTTCAATGACTCAAAATTTGCAACATATTAATTTCTATATGTTTAACAAACAGAATGTATTATTTTATTATATAAATAAATATAAATAAAATAAAATAAGGCAACGTTTTTATAGAACTATTAATATTACATGAATAGTTAGTATGTTTTTTTTTCAATGACTCAAAATTTGTAACATATTAATTTCTATATTTGCATTTCTATAAGAATAAATGGAAATGATATATAGTTGTAGTGGTTGATAACGTAGCGATACAGTATATGATTGCAATTATTTAAGAGCAAATTAAGTTAACTGATAACACAATTTCTACCAGCTCTATATAAATCTGTAGTCTGTGGTTACTTATTAGATGAGTTCAAGTTGTTCTAAATTGAAACTCATCTCTTCGAATACATGTAGAATATGTATTTTAATACAGAAGTGATTGTGGCTGTATTTATATGTAAGAATGGAACAGAAAGGCAACTCTTTCATTTATATAACACTGGCGACCCGTCCCGGCTTTGCACGGATGCATTACGAATAGTTGAATTTCTCGGTTTGTTCTGTACAATAACACGCATGTATTATACATGTAGACCTTCCTCGTGGATGACTCTGTCTATTGCTGAAAACTGCATTAAAATCGGTTGCGTAATTTAAAGGATATAAGCCAACAGACAGCGGCGGCGACTTTGTTTTATGTTATGTGAAGTTTATATTTTTATAAATGGCAATGTCACATAAGTACTAAATACATTTTATACATTATTCACAATTCTACAAGTTAATATATTTTAACCGACTTGCCATAATACTAGATTTTTGTAGAATCTCTTTTATGAATGTTACTTTGAAGCTATAGTTTAGATGTTAAGTCATTAGTTTCTAACATTGAAGACCAAAGTTATATTCCCAGTTAAAATTTTTTCAATATACTTATTTTACTAACATATTATATTTTTATAGTTATAGAAATATGCCAAGTGATCATGGCGCAATGTTTAAACATTATTTCTATTTGTGATTGTAATATTAAGATGTTTCTTATTATATTTGTTACTATAATCTCTATAGCATTTATTTTATTAATGTACTTACTGATTTTAATATACTTAACTATGGCGCAATTATATGTTTTTCCTCCGCAGTACAATTAACATAGGTAGCTTTTTAGTTAATATAATAAAAACATTTTTAACTAGTCGTGTTTTTTATTTGTCAGATCTTTATATACATAATTTGTATGATGGATTAAATCTGTTGTATGCATTATAGCTGCCTTCTTCGCAGTTCTGGCGTAATATGTATATTTTTTAATTACACTTAAATAATATAAATGTTTATAAATTACTTATGTGTGGGCAGCAGTTATAACTTTCCAGGTGGGCTGTCACGTAAGTTATAATTGATGTTTACATAAAATAAAAAATGTAATTGTTGTTATATAAAAAAGCATCATCTAGAATCAGCTAGCAATGTGGTCATCAGTCTAGATTACTAACAATTCTCTTTCCGCCCTCCTTAGGTATTATCCGCGATAGTTGTGATTGACGATTGTCAATTGACGTAGTACATTGCTAGCAATGATCACTAATTCCTCCCCCTACTGGACTTCAACCATATAACTTCTGAATTCAACTGTAAAAAAGCAAACGAGTCAAACATAAATTATTGACTTATCTTATTAATATTGAAAACGAGAGAGTTTGTGAGTATATCCATACTCACAAACTCTCGTTTTCAAACAACAAACATACATCTATACATCCGTATAGATGGATGTTTGTTACTCTTTCACGCCAAAACTACTGAGTAGATTTTAATGAAACTTTACAATAATATAGTTTAGAAATCTATAAATTTCATGCGGCATCTATAAAACCGTGGCCACAGTTTTTAGGAAATATTTTTATTACTTTGAATAAAAATATGGAGTTAATATATTGTGCATTGAATGGTATGTATTAATGGTCGCTCATACTGTTGGGTTCACCAGATTAGATAACTAGATAGATATAAAAATATATCAGGTTTTATGTGCTTTCTGTATCTTATGGGCGAGTTTGCGGACATTCCCCTTTTATGTAGTTTTTATGACGTCCGCAAGTCTGTCTGTCCCTCCGTATCTCGATGACGGTATAAAAACCCGGCGCTTACACGATAATTAACCGTCCTATGGAATTTTATCGTTCCTACATTCTAGTCAATGCGAAATTAGGGATTATCTGTTTGGTGTAGCTGTAGGAAGTCATCCGTATATTCCTTCACAGAGTAGGAGGGAGGTACAGAGTATGACAGATAGTAGATTGTAGTAACAAGTAGTAGTTGGTGAAATTGAACACTTCGTGTAAAAAGATCATGTAATCGAATGAATGATAATACATGATCTTTTTAATGGTTTGAGTCAGTTTGATTGCTATTCTCTTAACATAAAAAAACAATTTTATTTTTACAAGAGTCGCATTTGTTAAATACCATAATGTTTAGCTATGCAGGCGATATCCAATAAAGGTACAATAAAGTAAGAGTTTTTTTTTATTTATGTGACTGGCTGACAACGTTTACTTAAAGGAATAATACATTTTATAATATGCATATCTACTTGTACGTAGACAAAATCGCAGGCAGAAGCTAGCAAAGGAATAAAATATGTCACAATACTTGCAATGCCAGTGATGTAATTCTCTTAAAAATTTATCGTCAAAAAACCACGTAGAGCGCGCGTCCCGTATAGCCGTATAGCGAGCGTTCACCGCAAAAGTGAATGAACGTTCGCAAAATATTCACTTTTATTGACAGAAGTGTACTCGTAAAGATATATTTTTATAGTATCTAATTTATTATTAGATCATATGTTGTGTTTTATGGCGAAATTTCGTTTTGGAATATTTTGACTTTTGCAAATGATATGGGCGAGAGGATATCAGGGTTTGTATGGTGTGAGTCAAAGGCCCTCTTATGGAAAGCGTTTTATTTTGTGTAAAATACATAAAAACGAACGGTCACCTTTATTCCGAACAAAATTGGGACACTGCAAGGAATACACTACTTATACTATTGGTACAGTTGACATATCTATAAAATAGCGGCCTGTTCCTACAGTGGTGGCATTGGTCTAGTGATTGCCACATGTTTTAATTGCAATTATTACAATAAAAACACAATTACCCAATTAGTTTTACCACAGATAATATAATATTACAGTTTTAATAAAATAAATTATTGGCATAAAAAAGTACACTGAAAACTTTGTTGTGTAAATAGGTACCTAAGGTTAATGCTGATGTTAATTCAGAGGACGAATTTATTATGCGTCTATTGGTACCCTATAACTTTTGATCAATGTTTCGAATAACTTTTAAAAGAAGTTCTAATTTAATTACGTACCTCTGTAGTTTGAAAACAGAGGACTGAACACATCCACACATATAATCTTTATGAATATAAACTTAACTATACAAACAAGCTCTTTAGAATAGTACCTATTTTTTAATTAGATCGCTAGAATGGGAATGAAATTTAAGTCACGAAGAATGCTCAACAAACTTGGGTACTTCGCTTTTTTTCAAAACAAGGATAAAATTTGACGAGTTTAACCTTTTTTTTCAGTAGATACTATAGAGTAGGTAACAACAATAGAGAAAATATTTACTGCAAGTAGTAATCTAAGCGTCATAAAGTTTTAGTTCAAGGATTTAGTTCACGCTACAAGACTCTTGATCTTTCAGGTCTAGTGTTTCACAGTTCAGCGCTCGAGAGCGATCATTAGAAGCCCAAGCACGAGTGGCAGGTTAAGATTTTCCGTGTGTTCATTGAATCAGTTTGCTATCGGGTTTCCCGCTCATTTCCTACTCTGTTCAGGGCTGTCAGATATCGATGGCGAAGTGTCAATACCTTTCTCACATTGATATAAGAAAATATTATCTATCTTCCGATGGGATAAATATAGAATAGAATATCTTAAATAGACTATTTTTGTGTGTATATTATATTATAAAATGATAACTTATATATTTGTTATTTTAAAACAACAACAATAATCAAACTGGTTTGTTATCT